TCTTGAACTCCTGACCTCAAGTGATCCTCCTGCCTCGACCTCCCAAAGTTCTGGGATTACAGGCATGAGCCCACTGTGCCACCAGCCTCTTTCCTTCTCTTTCTCTCTTTCTTTCTCTCTCTTTCTCTCTCTCTTTTCTTTCTGTCCTCTCTTGCTTTCTCTCCCACTTTCTCTTTTCTCTTTCTCTTTTCTTTCTCTTCTCTTCTCTCTCTCCCTCCTTCCTTCCTTCCTTCCTTCCTTCCTTCCTTCCTTCCTTCCTTCCTTCCTTCCTTCTTTCCTTCCTTCCTTTCTTCCATTCTTCTTGATGGAGTCTCAGTCTGTCACCTAGGGCTGGAGTGCAATGGCGTGATCTTGGCTCACTGCAACCTCTGCCTCCTGGGTTCAAGCGATTCTCCTGCCTCAGCCTCCCAAGTAGCTGGGATTACAGGTGCCCGCCACCATGCCTGGCTAATTTTTGTATTTTTAGTAGAGACAGGGTTTCACCATTTTGGCCAGGCTGGTCTTGAACTCCTGACCTCAAGTGATCCTCCTGCCTCGACCTCCCAAAGTTCTGGGATTACAGGCATGAGCCACTGTGCCTGGCCTCTTTCCTTCTCTTTCTCTCTTTCTTTCTCTCCTCTCTTTCTCTCTCTTTTCTTTCTGTCCTCTCTTCTTTCTCTCCCTTTCTCTTTTCTCTTTCTCTTTTCTTTTCTCTTCTCTTCTCTCTCTCCCCTTCCTTCCTTCCTTCTCTTTCTTTCTAACAAGGTAGCCTATCTGTAGCCCAGGCTGGAATGCAGCGGTGCAATCATAGTTCACTGCAGCCTCAAATTCCTGGGCTCAAGGTTTCCTCCCATCTATGCCATTTGAGTGTCTAGGACTACAGGTACATGCCACCTGGCTAGTTTAAAAAATTTTTTTTCTTCTTTTTTTTTTTGTTTTTGTTTTTAGAGACAGGGTCTTGCTATGTTGCTCAGGCTGGTCTCAAACTTCTGGGCTGAAGTAATCCTCCTCCCTTGGCCACCCAAACTGTTGTGATTACAGGCGTGAGCCACCGGGCATGGCCTAATTCTATTTCATTCATGCCAGCCTCCCCATAGGTACGCTTTTCTTGGACAGATACTGAGAGGCTAGTCGTAGGGGCTGACTCAGGTGGGAAGCATCACTATGGGACTGGAAATATGCTTTTGGGTGAGGTGTGGATTCCAAAAGCCATGGACCACGTCACCCACAGCCACACGGGCCTCTTTGTTCCTTGAGACACACAGTCTTGTCTCAAGACCCTTGCACATGCTGTTCCTTCTGCCTGGAAAGCTCTTCCCTCAGATACCCACGTGGCTCCCCCCCTCCCTCAGGCCTCTCTCAGATGTCACCTCCTCAGTGAGGCTGTCTCTGCGTCCCTATTTAATAAAGTAACCAGGGCCGGGCGCGGTGGCTCAAGCCTGTAATCCCAGCACTTTGGGAGGCCGAGACGGGCGGATCACGAGGTCAGGAGATCGAGACCATCCTGGCTAACCCGGTGAAACCCCGTCTCTACTAAAAAATACAAACAATTAGCCAGGTGAGGTGGCAGGCACCTGTAGTCCCAGCTACTCGGGAGGCTGAGGCAGGAGAATGGCGTGAACCCGGGAGGCGGAGCTTGCAGTGAGCTGAGATCCGGCCACTGCACTCCAGCCTGGGCGACAGAGCAAGACTCCGTCTCAAAAAAAAAAAAAAAAAAAAAAAAAAAACAAAGTAACCAGTCTACCCAACCCTTCTTCCTCTTCTTCTTCTTCTTCTTTTTTTTTTTTGACACGGGGTCTCACTTCATTGCTCAGACAGGAGTTCAGTGGGACGATCACGGCTCACTGCAATTTCAGCATCTCAGGCTCAGACAATCCTCCTGCCTCAGCCTCCTGAGTAGCGGGGACTACAGACACGTGCCACCATGCCTGGCTAATTTTTAAAAAATTATTTGTAGAGAGAGGGTCCTATTACGTTGCCCAGGCTGGTCTTGAACTCCTGGCCTCAAGTGATCCTCCTGCCTTGGCCTCCCAAGTGCTGGGATTACAGGCATGAGCTACTGCACCCAGCCTACACACCTTACCCCTCTTTGTTAAGGACTCAATGGTGTCTTCCCAAATTCGTATGTTGAAGTCTAAACTCCAGTATCTCAGAATGTGGCTGTATATGGAGATAGGACCTTTACAAAGGTAATTAAGGTAAAAGGAGGTCAGATGAGTGGCCTTAATTCAATATTACTGGTGTTCTCCTCGCCCGGCTAGTTTTTTTTGTATTTTTAGTAGAGACGGGGTTTCACCGTGTTAGCCAGGATGGTCTCGATCTCCTGACCTCGTGATCCGCCCGTCTCGGCCTCCCAAAGTGCTGGGATTACAGGCTTGAGCCACCGCGCCCGGCCTGGTGTTCTTATAAGAAGAGATTAGCCACAAAAAGACCTCAGTAAGTGTGTGAGGTAATGCATATGTTAATTAGCTCAAGTTAGCCATTAGTCGAACACACAATGCGTATGTGTTAGACAACATCATGTTGAACATCATAAATATATACAATTTTGTAATCCCAGGTACTCGGGAGGCTGAGGCGGGAGAATTGCTTGAAACTAAGAGGTGGAGGTTGCAGTGAGCTGAGATCGTGCCACTGCACTCCAGCCTAGGCAACAAGAGTGAAACTTTGTCTCAAAAAAAAAAAGTATATATATATATATATTTATATGTGTGTGTATGTGTGTGTGTGTGTATATGTGTGTATATATATATACAATTTTTATTTGTCAATTTAAAAACTTTTTTTTTTTTTGAGACATGGTTTGGCTTTGTCACCCAGGCTAGAGTGCATTGGCACAATCTTGACTCACTGCAACCTCTGCCTCCCAGGCTCAAGTGTTCCTCCCACCTCAGCCTCCCAAGTAGCTGGAACTACAGTCATGTGCCACTATAGTTCCAGTGTAGTTCCATGCCTGGCTAATTTTTGTATTTTTAGTAGAGATGGGGTTCTGCTATGTTGCCCAGGCTGGTCTCAAACTTCTAGGCTCAGAAAATCTGCCCGCCAAAGTGCTAGGATTACAGGCATGAGCCACCACGCCTGGTCTTTTGGCCCTTCCCAGCACTTTTCTTTTCTTTTCTTTTTTGAGATGGAGTCTTGCTCTGTCCCCCAAGCTGGAGTGTGGTGGCGCGATCTCTGCTCACTGCAAGCTCCGCCTCCCGGGTTCCCGCCATTCTCCTGCCTCAGCCTCCCGAGTAGCTGGGACTACAGGTGCCCGCCACCATGCCTGGCTAATTTTTTGTATTTTTTAGTAGAGATGGGGTTTCACCATGTTAGTCAGGATGGTCTCGATCTCCTGACCTCGTGATCCTCCGGCCTCAGCCTCCCAAAGTGCTGGGATTACAGGCATGAGCCACCGCGCCCGGCGACCTTTCCCAGCACTTTTCAACTCCTAATCTCTATGTGATGTACCTACTTATTTTGTTCCTTGTCTGTCTCCCTCCTAGAATGTCTTCTCCATGAGGGTGGGGACATATGCCAGTCTTAGTCATGGTTGCGTCCCCAGGATCTAGCACAGGGCCAGGCACAAATTGGGTGGTCGCTCAGAGTTTGTTGAACGATTAAGTGATTGGAGATAAAGATCCTGGGGCTACAAGGTCCTTTGGTGTGTTGCGTGTCCACTGATAAATGTGTGAGTGTAGGAAACCCTGTCTCTTTTCTTTTTTCCAAAATCAGCTGTTGGCCAGGCACGGTGACTCATGCCTGTAATCCCAGCACTTTGGGAGGCAGAGGCGGGCGGATCACTCGAGACCAGGAGTTCGAGACCAGCCTGGCCAACATGGTGAAACATGAAACATGGTGAAACCCTGTCTCTACTAAAAATTGAAAAGTTAGCTGGGTGTGGTGGCAGACACCTGTAGTCCCAGCTACTCAGGAGAATCGCTTGAACCTGGGAGGCAGAGGTTGCAGTGAGACAAGATTGCACCACCACTTCAGCCTGGGCAACAGAGTAAGACTCCATCTCAAACAAACAAACAAACAAAAAAACAACTGTAACCTGGCGTGGTGATGTGCACCTGTCATCCCAGCTACTCAGGAGGGAGGCAAAGGCAGGAGGATCACTAGAGTCCAGCAGTTCCAGACCAGCCTGGGCAATGTAGCAAGATCCCATCTCTAAAAAAAATAAAAATGAAGTTAAAAGAAACAGAGAACCTGGTGAGAAGCAGTGTGGCTGGACAGGTGGCCACTCCCATGTGGATTTATTTATTTATTTATTTATTTATTTATTTATTTATTTTTAGAGACAGAGTCTCACTGTCACCCAGGCTGGAGTGCAGTGGTAAGACCTTGGCTCACTGCAACCTCCACCTCCTGGGTTCAAGCAGTTCTCCTGCCTCAGCCTCCCAAGCAGCTGGGATTACAGGCATGCGGATTACAGGCATGGGCCATCACGCTCGGCTAATTTTTGTATTTTAGTAGAGACAGGGTTTCACCATGTTGGCCAGGCTGGTCTCAAACCCCAGACCTCAGGTGATCCGCCCGCCTCTGCCTCCCAAAGTGCTAGGATTACAGGCCTGAGCCACTGCACCCGGCCTCTCATGTGCATTTAAAACTGCCTCTTGAACTCACCCTTTCAGGTTTCCAGAGCTCACAGGACCCAGGGACTGAGGGCGAGCGAACCCCCAGGCTCATGGTGGCTCATTTTGCAGAAGGGGACGTAGAGATGCTGATAAATCCAGCATCCCGCCCTCTGTGGCCGGCACCTGGGAGGTGGAGTGAGTGCCCGCGGCACAGCCTCATAGTCTTTTGCTCCATGGGGCACATCTGTTGCCGGGCAGCTCCTGAGAACTGGCTTTCTGGGCCCTGAGTTGCCAAGGAACTACTAAATCCCGGCCAGCCGGGGCTGGTGTGTATTTTGACTTTCTGCGAAGGAGGGTGGGGTGGCCTCTCCTGTCTTCTGAGTTCCCTTCTCCTTGCCCTCCGTGAGCTCTGCCTGCCTCTCCCTCACGCTGGCCCTCTCTCTCTCCTCTTTCTTCCTCTAGTTTCCCCCTCACTGTGCTGGAGGGAGAAGACCCTGGGATTTCTGAGCGAGGCCCATGGATGTTGAAGTCTCCCGGGGTCCCCGACTCCATGCTCTCGCGCCCCAGTTACTATGACGCCCTGCACAGCCGCAGCTCGGGGCACGCCCAGCGCCCTGCAGGACACTCGGCCTCCCCGGCTCAGCATCTGCTTCGAGGGGCCCCCTCTGAGGCGGCGGGGTGGCGTGGTGGATCACCGAGATGTCATCTTGGCCCACCAGGCCCACAAAATCCACAGCACCCCCCAGGCCAGGAGGAAAGAATGGGAGTGAGTATGCCCGGGTGGTGGTGTTGGGGCGGGGTGGCGGGGGCGGTGCGGCTGTACTGGGGATCCCTTAGGGGTTAGGATGTTTTTGGCAGGCTTTTTTGGGGAGCAAATTCATGCAGCTGGAACACATTGATAAGGCTGTGCTGGCTTCTGAAATCTCAAAATGCTTCCCTGCTAATTGATCAATACTTGTTGCCTTAAGCCCCCTGGGCACCCCCATCCGGCTCTGTGGATCCCTGAGCTGCCTCACCCTGGGGCAACAAAGAGATTAACCATGGATGTGGCAGCCAGGACCCAGCTCCCAGGATTGTGAGTGTCCGCTCTGATAGGTTGGCAAATATTCCTTCCTTCCTTCCTTCCTTCCTTCCTTCCTTCCTTCCTTCCTTCCTTCCTCCCTCCCTCCCTCCCTCCCTCCCTCCCTCTCTCTCTTTCTTTCTTTCTTTCTTTCTTTCTTTTTTTTGACGGAATCTTGCTCTATCACGCAGGCTGGAGTGCAGTGGCCTGATCTTGGCTCACCGCAACCTCCGCCTCCTGGGTTGAAGAGATCCTCCTGCCTCAGCCTCCCAAGTAGCTGGGACCACAGGCACACGCCACCACGCCCGGCTAATTTTTGTATTTTTAGTAAAGACGGTGTTTCACCATATTGGTCAGGCTGTTCTCAAACTCCTAACCCCAAGTGATCCACCCGCCTTGGCCTCCCAAAGTGCTAGAATTACAGGCGTGAGCCACCGCGCTCAGCCAGCAAATGTTTCTGTTGAGATGGCTGAGAAATGCTGCTTTCTGGGGAAAAACACGGGAATCCCATTTCTACTTCCAGTGTTGAGTTGAAATCTGAGGGTTTAAGGGCTGGAGACAGAAGTGTGTGAAGGCAGAGCGGGACCTGGATAGGGCTGGGAGTACGCGGTGGCTTCAGTTGAGTCTGGTCCTGGGTTCCCCTTTTTCATTGTCAGTGACCCCAGCAGTGGGTCTTCTGGTGGGAGACACTGGGGGTGGAACTGGCTCCGTCGTGTAGTTGCTGCTGGGCAATGTTGGATGAACGGCTTTCCTGAGCCGTTGCCGGGCAGCTCCTAAGAACTTGGGGTCTTGGCTGTTGGAGGGTTGAAGGTGGTTTGTGTGAAGGTTCAGTCTCAGGCCAGCCCCTATGCATCGTTTTTCCACATAGTGGGGGAGCTAGTGGGTTTTTTCTCCTCCCTCCTTCCCTCCCTCCCTTCCTTCCTTCTTCCTTCTTTCCTTCCTTCCTTCCTCCCTCCCTCCCTCCCTCCCTCCCTCCCTTCCTTCCTTCCTTCCTTCCTTCCTTCCTTCCTTCCTTCCTTCCTTCCTTCCTTCCTCTTTCTTTCCCTCCCTCTCTCCTTTCTCTCTTTTCTTTCTTTTCTTTCCTTTTAAGACAGAGGTTTTTTCTTCTCTCTCTCCTCCTTCCTTCCTTTTCTCCTTCTTTTCCTCCTTCATACTCTTTGACAAGGTCTCTCCTTCCTTCCTTCTTTTCTTTCTTTCTTCTTTCTTTCTCTCTCTCTTTCTTCTTTCTTTCTCCTTCCTTCCTTCCTTCCTTCCTTCCTTCCTTCCTTCCTTCCTTCCTTCCTTCCTTCCCTTCCTTCCTCTTTTCTTTCTTTCCTTTTGAGACAGAGTCCCTTCCTTCCCTTTTCCTCCTTCCTTCCTTCCTTCCTTCCTTCCTTCCTTCCTTCCTTCCTCTTTTCTTTCTTTCCTTTTGAGACAGGGTCCCTTCCTTCCTTTTCCTTCCTTTCCTTCCCTTCCCTCTCTCCTTTTCTCTTTCCCTTTCCCTTCACCTTTCCTTTCCTTTTCCTCAAGAGTGTTTTGTTTTGTTTTGTTTTGTTTTTTTGGCAAAGGCACAGGCCTAGGGTGGATTCCTGAGCAGACATCAGGAGTGTGGGATGAGAATATAAATATTATTTTGTTTGGAGCTGAGGCTGATATGGACACTAATCAATTTAGGGGACCCCAAAATTTACTCTCTTACCCTCTTGATGCTCCAGACCTGACCCTGTGGGAAGCACACTTCACCAGACACCGACCCTGGCCCCATTTTTCCATTTGCAGGAGGGGAAGTGGAGTTACAAATGCCATTTGGGTTGGGAGGGTGCTGGTGAGGGGGTGTGTAAATACAGGGTGCAATGCAAACTGTTTTATTAAAATGAGCCATTGCTCATTTTGAATCAAAGAACTTCGGGATGGGGCTCAGAGTGGTATAAGCTTGGCCCCGAGGTGGTTTCCTGAGGTTAGTCTGACATCTTCTGGCGTGTTTGAGCATCGTTTAGGAAGGCAAGTTGTGACTTCCCCGCCACCCGTCGCAAAACTGGGTTCCTCTTAACTTTCCTTCCCCTCCATCCACTCATCTGTCCACTCACCCACCCACTACCCACCCATTTAAACTTCTAATTGTGCATGCATCCATCCATCCGTCCATCACCCATCCATCTTTCTACCCATCAATCCATTCATCCATCTCCCTATTCTTTCTCCCATCCATCCATTTTCCAGCGATCCAACCATTTTCCCATTCACCCACCTGTCCACACATCTATCCATCCACTCAACCCACCCACCAACTCACCCATTCTTCCATTCACCCATTCATCCATCCATTCTTCCATTCATTCTTCTGTCCATCCACCCACCTATCATCTTATATACCAGTCTATCCATCCACCCATCCATCATTCCATAAATAATCAGGAAATGCACCCATTCCCTTTAACGTCTGCCTTGGTTTCTAGAACCCATAAAAGTTTCTTTCTTTCTTTTTTTTTTTTGAGACGGAGTCTTGCTCTGTCTCCCAGGCTGGAGTGCAGTGGCGCGATCTCAGCTCACTGCAAGCTCCACCCCCCCGGGTTCACGCCAGTCTCCTGCCTCAGCCTCCCATGTAGCTGGGACTACAGGTGCCCGCCACCACGCCCGGCTAATTTTCTTTCTTTTTTTTTTTTTGTATTTTTAGTAGAGACGGGGTTTCACCATGTTAGCCAGGATGATCTCGATCTCCTGACCTCGTGATCCGCCCGTCTCAGCCTCCCAAAGTGTTGGGATTGCAGGCGTGAGCCACCGTACCCGGCCAACCAATAAAGTTTCTTTAATTTATTTTCATTTTTACAAATTTTAACTAATTAATTAATTTTCGAGGCAGGGTCTTGCTCTGTCACCCAGGCTGGAGTGCAGTGGCCCTATCACGGCTCACTGCAACCTCTGCCTCCTGGGTTCAAATGATCCTCCCACCTCAGCCTCTCAAGTAGCTGGGACTAGGTGCACCACACCATGCCCAGCAAATTAAATAATTTTTTTTGTAAAGATGGGATCTTGCTATGTTGCCCAGGTTGGTCTCAAACTCATGGGCTCAAGCGACCCTCTTGCCTTGGCCTCCCAAATTGCTGGGATTACAGGCATGAGTCACCATGCCTGGCCCAAAGTGTCCTTATAGCCATGATTTCCAAATTTCTGAACTCCTACCCCAACCAATTTTTCAGCATATTCATAGCTGAAATGCATAGCCACAGTGCATGCATTTTTATTTATATATAATTTATTTTGCTAAATGTGTTATATGCACGTAAAATATACACAAAAATAAAAACGCGAAAAGGATGAGAGACCTCAGTGAGATATATCATATTTCCAAATGGCTTTAATAGTTTGATTTAATAGTACAACATGCTTTTGCCCTTATGTTTTAGAAGTTTGCCTTTGCTTTTTGAATACCATGTTCTGTAAGAGCGTTGTATTCTGAAAATGTTCCAATATGCTAAAAGTAGGAAGAAGAGCTCAGTGAAACTTTCTTATCCATCAGAATTTAATAATGATCAGGGTTGTGCCAGACTTCACATCATAAATCCATATCCTCTTTCTGAGATATTTAAAAGTAAATCCCTGACCTTATGTGATTTTTTGCAAACTTCAGACTACATCTCTAAAGCACACAGACACATCTTAGTAATATCACACTGACAACATTAATCATGATTTTTATGTCTGATTTCCGGTCCACATTCAGATTTCCTTGCTCGTCTTTTTCCAGTTGAGTTTTTTGAATCAAGAAGGCCTGAGTGTTGCATTTCGTCATTTCTGTCTCTTTTTATTGTGGTAAAATATACATAACATAACATTGACCATTTTAACCATTTTTAAGCATACAGTTCAGTGACATTAAGTACATTCGCATTGTTGTGCAACCGTCACCACCGTCCATCTCCAGAACATTTTGTTTGTTTTGAGACAGAGTCTCACTCTGTCGTCCAGGCTGGAGTGCAGTGGCATGACCTTGGCTCACTGCAACCTCCATCTCACGGGTTCAAGGGATTCTCCTGTCTCAGCCTCCCGAGTAGCTGGGATTACAGGCAGCTGTCACCATGCCCAGCTAATGTTTGTATTTTTAGTAGAGATGGGATTTCACCATGTTGGACAGGCTAGTATTGAACTCCTGACCTTAAGTGGTCAGCCCCGCTCAGCTCCCAAAGTGCCAAGATTACAGGCATGAGCCACCATACCTGGCCGATCTCCAGAACTTTTTCATCACTCCAAACTGCAGCTCTGTCTCCATGAAACACTCACTCCCCAGACCCTATCCCCCAGCCCCTGACACCCACCATTCCACTTTCTGTCTCTATGAATCTGATGACTCTAGGGACCTCATATAAGTGAAACATATAGCATTTGTCCTCCTGTGTCTGGCTTATTTCACTAAAGCATAATGTCCTCCAGGTGGAATTGTATCGTATTTGTAGCATGTCACAATTTTTCTTACTTTTAAGACTGAATAATATTTCATTGTATGAATAGACCACATTTTGTCCAGTCCTCCATCCATCCATCCATCCATCCACCCATCCATCCATCCATCCACCCATCCATCCATCCTTTCATCCATCCACCCATCCATCCACCCATCCATCCACCCATCCATCCATCCATCCATCCATCACCCATCCATCCATCCATCCACCCATCCATCCATCCTTTCATCATCCATCCATCCATCCATCCATCCACCCATCCATCCA